CCCCGCGCGCAAAACTGCCAGTTGCCGTGTCGGCTGGCACCGATTGGGCAGCAGCCGCCTGGACTTTGACAGCGCGCGTCGCTCGGGCAGCTGGCGCGCGCGCCAGCAAGGGGGGCGATGAAGAGAGCGTTGCAACGACGACCATCAATGGGCGAACGCCTCATTTAAAGGAGGCAACCTCTATCGAGCGCCATCGGCTCGCGACCGAGCGGCGTTCGCAATAGCTCCTGCGCGCGGTGTTGCGCGTCGGGCCCTGGCGGGCCCCAGTGGCCAGGGCGCCCTGGTGCGCGCGCCAGAAGGGGCTAACACTGCCCCATCGGATGCCCGCAGGCTCCGCTAGGATGAGCCATGGAGGAGGGGGGGGAGGAGGAAATGATGATGATGAGGGGGAGGGTGATGGGCATGCTGATGAGGAGGATGCTTAACGCCTCGCTGTTCTTAGCACCCTCCTGGGTTCGACATGGCTATAGCCTTCTTCCTTCTTGTGAGCATACCCCTCCGCTTTCCCCCATCACCCTCGCCATGCAAGCGGCCCGACGGGAAATGCCGCGTCGGAACGGGGACAAGGGCAGCTAAGACAAGGTGGAGGGTGGGAAGCGCTTGGAGCGACCAGCGGCCGCGCGTGGGGAGAGGCAACGAAACGTGCAATGCACCTTCTGCCCTTTCCCCCGCGCCAGGCGCTAACCGCCCTCACCTCGTCGAAGCCGCCATGGGTGCGACCCTGTCCCCGCCCGCCAACCCTCTAACAACAGTCAGCTTAGGACCATGCTGCAAGCCTGCTACATCGCGGTGGCCATGGCCGTTTTCATGGACGCGCAGGGCGAACACGCGCGGCCCGATTGTGATATGACAGAGCGTGTCCTACCCACGTGCGGAAAACAACACGAGTGGGTCTGAACGTGAGTGGGTTGAGCACGAGTGGGCCTGGGAGTGAGTGCGTGAGCGCGCGTTGCGTGAGCACCATATGGGCACCTTAAGGAGGCCCGACGACACTTCAATGAGGCCCCACGGCCTGCCTCGAGGCCAGCCCCCAAACAAACACCCAGACAGACCTTACGGCTGGCCCCATGCGGAAGCCACAAAGCACCCCAATATGCCCCCAAGATATCATGCAGGCCCCAAGACACCACTGAGGAAGCCCCACGGCACCCTGATGAGGACCCGATTGCACCATCAGGGGCCTCACGCTATTCCTTTTTCTCAAGGGTCGCGGATCGGCTCGCCATCCACGTCGCCGTCGTTCTCGCCCCTCTCCTTCTCGGCCAGGGCCCTGAACGACGGCTCCCCGCTGGCCAGCGCGTCCCGCCGCGCATCCCTGCGCTCGGCGTGGTCAGGCTTCCACGTGTGGACGTGGTCCCATCGTGTGATCCCCGTCTCCTCGGTCACGCCGAGCCACGCGCACATCAGGCCGAGGCACCTGCCTTTCGCCCTGTTGCTCTTCATCTCTCGGCATGTTCGGGTAAGGAAGCATCCAGAAGCCTCGCCCTGGTGTGATGGCACCAAACACTGCGCCACCATGGTGCTCGTCGTGCCGTAAAATCGAATGATGCCGCTGCGGTGGCGAACCGCAATCTCAGCGGGCACCTTGCCGAGATGCTTCGGGCCGCCCGCAACTCCTCCGCCCAGCGCTGCAGGTGGAGGTTCAAGCGGCGCCGCAGGCGGCGGCACTGGGGGCGGCGGCAACGGTGGTCCGAAGAAGACGTCCGCTATCGCCCCGTCGATGTCGGCCGCGACGCCGTCGTGCTCGCCTTCGCCGCCGTCGCCACCAGCGGGATGGGCATCACCGTCCTCGCCGCAGCCTCCGTCACTATCAGCGTCCTCGGGAACGCTGTCGCCCTCAGCGGACTCTGTGGTCTCGCCATGGTCCTCGTCCGGATCGGACGAAGCCTCGGCGCCGCCGTCCTTGCCCTCGGCGGGGTCGTCGGAGTCCGAACTCGACGAGCTCGAAGAGCTCGGCGAGCTCGACGAGCTCGAACTGGAGCCAGACTGGCTGCTCGCATCGCCATCGGCAAGCGCCGCAGCCCTGCCCCCGCCCCTGCCGCGCCCGCCGCGCCCGCGGCCCTGGCGCCCAGCGCGGCCCCCTCCTGCAGCGCGCCGCTGTCGGCGAGCCTTGGGCCGAGGCGGGTCGACCTCGGGAGTCTGGCGGCTGATGTACAGCTTCCATGGTTCCACGCTGGCGACCTGCCTGGACCGAGACACGAACCGCCAGAAGCTGATCGTCCTGATCTGCTCCGCCTCGAAGCTCTTGATCATCTCCCAAAGGGATCGCCAGAACATCTTCGGATCCTCGACCCGAATCGGTGACACCCCCAAGATGTCGCCGCAGTCCCTGGGCTGGTCCCTCTCCAGCTCGACCACCGTGGGCGAGAAAGGCTTCTGGAAATCGAAAGCGACATGAAAAAAACGATGAACGATTCCATCACCATCAGCACCGCACTCAACGACATCCAACCCCGAGCCGCCCGCGGCATCTGCCTCGGCCTCTTGAATGGCCGTGGTGCTGGTGAAGCGGAGCACGCCGTCGCCACTGGCCAGCAGTGCCTTCATCGGAGAGCCCCCCCCTGGCTGCTTCATGCAATCACAGTTGCGCTGCCGCCGAAAAACCTCTGAGCCCCGTGAGGGCCCCTCCAGAAAACTCCCCAGGAAACCTCTGAACCCCATAAGGGCCCCTACAAAACCAAGGGATCTGCATCTGTGAACTTGTTCCGAAGCCCAAAGACCCTGCACGGCAGCACAGCGCCCCTCCCCTTGCAGGCCCCCAAGGTGGCCCTCGACACCCACCGAAGGCCTGAGTCATGAAACGGAGGCACGTCAAGATCGCGATGGAACCCCATCGCGATCTTGACGTCCCTCACAAACGCGGCCGTCGATTGTTTCAAAAGGCTGGATTGTAAATCAAGGCTTCCTGGGGACATTCGGGGATGGGGCTCGCAGGGCTGCAGGCGCGGGGGCGCTGGGGGCCGACCTCCCCGCCCCATCCCCTGCATGCGAGATCGGCGAACGTTTGCGACAGCAACCCCCCCTTCCTCTGCCAGACAGGCTGCAAAGCAGGAACCGTGGCGATAGCGCGACCTCGAAGCAAAAGGGGGGCCAGTGGGGATCCCGAAGAGGCCCCGACTAGATGCGGCGGCACATTGCCCTGCTCCCTAAGACAACCCGAAGCCCAATCGAACTTATATCTGGCACCCCCCTGAGGCCTCATCCGCATTTCTTCGAAGCGGCCTTCGAAGGCCGCGAATGCGATCAACGACGCCAAGGGCTGGCACGGCGACGCCTCCGTGAGAGGGCCCCGAAACGCACAAGCGTAGTTGGCCACCTGAGGTCATCGCCCACCCCCCTGGCACCCCTCGTCTGCTGCCCCCAAGAGGACATCGCAAGGCTTCCGAGGCACGCAAAGGCTCGTTCCTGGCCCCTGGGGCCCACTGGGCGGGACCTCCCGAAGGTCCCCAAAGGCTGGCCCAGCATGCGACCCCCTCCCCCCCCCCCCCCTACCGCCAGCGAAGGCCAAGAGATGTCCTTGAGGGCCTAAGCCTTCAAGGAATCTGTGGCATTCGTTGAACGCTGCTGCTACTATGATTGCATGAAGCCTCCAAGGAGGCGCGCGGGAGCCTTGGCGGCCTTCTTGCCAAGCAACGAGTTGCGAAGGAGAATGAACACGAACTTGACGTGCCGCTCGATCAGCCGCAGCCCGATGCCGTCGCCCTCGTGGATGCAGGTCTCCGCCTCGTGGCAAACCCTGCGGTCGATGGCCACTCTGCCCAGGCATGGCACGTTGGACTTCGTGAAAGTCGTGCGCAAGGCTTCCCACCTCGACGCTCGCTGATCCACCGACTCGCCGCTGCTGCCGCCAAAGCTCTGGCAGGCGTCTGCAACGACGTTCGGCGCGCGCCTGCGATACCTGAGAACCGCGCCCGTATCGACCTGGACCTCGACGTCGGCGACGGGGCCAGCGGCCCGATCCACGAGCGCGAGCAGGCTGCCGTCCCGCTCCAAGCTGGCCTGCCTGGACGCGCGGGCAGCATCGCGCACCGCGGCCGCCACGCGGGTCTCTTGCGAGCCCTCCCTGCGACGTCGGCGGGAGGCCTCCTCCCGAGCAGCCGCCGCAGCCTCCAGAATCGACGAGCGAACGTTGGCGAACTGAGATACCTGCGGCGCGACACCCTCTGCTGCTGGACGCTTGCTCCGAGGGCGGCTCGGCTCCATGCCGAGAGCTAGCGCGCCGTCCGACGCCGAGGACACCCTCGGCTTCCGACGCCTGTCAAAGCCACGCTCCCCAGACAGATGACGATCCCTCGCAATGGCAGCCAGCAGCCTGCACTGATCAAGCTCAGGCCCCTCCAGCTGAGAATACATCTCCGACAACTCTGCAGCAGTCCCATCATATATGTACATGCCGTTCACGTGCACGAATGCGCGCCACATCCACTGCTGGAGGCTGTTGCGACCGCGTCGCGGGTCCTGCGCATGGCGCTTCCGCCTCGGGGCAGGGCCTCTCCGAAGGTCGGTCGGGCAAGGTGCTGAATCGACGTCGAAATCACTTGCCGACTGCGCCGTGAAATGGGCACTCACCTCTGCGACGGTCTCGACGTGTGTCCAAACCCTGAAGCGCGCACTCCTCTGGTTCACCGAATGCAGCCGTTCCACGTCGGCGGTGTCCATGTCGGCCATGACCAGGACGCCCTTCAGTTCATTCGCTGCCTCCTGCGAGCCCAAGCGCCCATGGTAGAACTTCGCGAAATCCAGGGAGTACGGGTCCAGAAGGCAGGGCTTGGTCGCACCGAGAGCGTGCAAATGTGCAGGCTCCTTGAGGGCATACAGCAACGGCATCGGCCAATTCCGATTGGCCCTGTGCACAAGATGGTATGCGACCCCGCCCATCCTTGACATCAAACGGTAAACCTTCAGCGACACCACCTCCGTATGCTCCTGCAATGGAGACCGCGATGCTGCGTTGAAGATTGACTCGTAGCATGTTCTGAACAACTCATGGGTGTCCTCGTCCTCATGAGCCAGCCACGCTTGATATGTCCTCGGCTCTCCGCGGGACACCTTGTGCTGCTGCAGCTTCTCGAATGCCGAGCCGCTGGAGGCCAACTGCCGCGTGACGTAGGAGTCCGTGCGCACGGCCAGCACCGAGCCGATGAACATATCGTCAGCGACGGCGCCGCTGAGCATCCAGGCGCGGCTGCCAGCAACTCGCTGGTCGTGCTGCTCCCTGAAGGCGTTCACGTCGTCCTGGTCTGCTGGGTCCCCGCCGTCTGGGCCGTCGGCCGAGGGCTGAGGTCCAGCAGGGTCGGCGCCGCCGTCTCCAGCGGCACGCTGCTCGGCATCCCCTGGAGGAGCGCCGCCACCAGGCCCAGCAGCAACAGCACGTGGCGCACGGGCTGCCTTCCCTGGCAGCGCGCGCAAGTAGGCTGCCTGCAGAATACCATGGACAGACGCTGGCACACCAATGGATCGGTGACTGCGCATCTTGTCAGCCCAGTTGGCTCTGTTTAGAACGTCAATCCTGCCGAACAGCGCAGGGACCCCAAACCTCCTCATCAAGAACAGAGTGTGCTTGGGCGATTGACAACATCCTCTGCAATAGTGCTCAATGACGCCATGCTTGCGAATATCTCCATTGTACAATCTTGAAACAACCTCCTTGCGATACGCAAGTATTGGGTCACTTGAACCACCAAAGTAAAGGTCCCAAATGGCGTCGCGGTGCGCGGTGGCTGCCGCTGGGGGTACACCTCCTCTGACCACGAGCTGCTCTCCATGGATCAACCTGGCCTGGTGTCTCAGCTCGAGAAGGTGATCACCCGTCAAGGACATTTGACATCGAACGAGGTTCGTGTCGAATGGCCTGATCGCGATGAGCCCCTGCTCGGCGACCTTCTTCTTCTTGTGTGCCCGACACAACAAGGTCAGCTGAGACCTCCGAGGGAACGCTTCTGCAAAGGCACGCTCGTTTCGGAGGTTGCCACTGGCAGCGTCGCAGCACGCGATGTCCACCTGCCTGGGGACCATCAGGTCGAGGGGGCCGTCGCAAGGCAGATCCAATTGCCTGCGCAGAGCCGCGTGCACGACCTCAGCAGAAGAGCCGTCGAGCACACAAAGATGCGTCGGCACAGTGCCATGCACGTGCAAGAAGTCCGCAGCACCACCATCGGCCCTGCGTCGCATCATCATGCCGAACTGGCCCTTGGCGACGAAAACCTCGCGAGCGCCAACCGTGTGCTCACAGATGACGTCGTCATCGTACACCTGCGACGCGGTGGTCGTGAGCTTCATGCGTGTGCCATCGTATTTGCGCTTTCGGAAGAACACCAATGGCGCGGTGACAGCACTACCGAGCTGCTCCCGAGAGGCCCTGCATGCGCCAAGCATGCGGTCGATGACGGACAGCACGTGCTCTCGCGAGGCCACGAAGGTCGCGTGAGCAACAGCATACACGCGTTCTCTGAAGTGTCCTCGCGGTATGCCCAGTCGTTGTCCCACCGAGAGCGCGCTCGACAAGGTGACGGCGCCGCCGTCGGGGAACCTCTTCTCGACCATCACCAGTGCCAAGCTGGCCAGAGGGCCTACCGAGTGCCGTCGGCCGCCGCCGCTGCCAGCGGCCTCCACCAGCGGGCCTGCCACGGCGCGCGCGGAGGCAGGCTGGCGCAGCACGATCCCCTGGCCGCCGCCCACCTCGGCGCTCGGGGAGCGAGGAGGGCTGTCCGCCAGCCAATCCTCCTGCTCTTCCTCCGCCTGCGGGCCGTCGCTTCCAGCAGCGTCAGCCAGGCGGCCATCAGGAGTCGGAATGGAGGGAACCCCCCACTCCTCATCGGACAAGAAAGCCTCTGATGGCGAACTCATCGTGGGCAATAACAAGGCCGAGTGATGTTTGAGCCAAAATGGTTACGGCACGCGTGTTTAGCATTGCACATTGATCCAATATCGGCAGACCCCTCACACAGATCGCACATGCTTAATGTCATTTTGCGGGGGCCATCGCTGCCCCACCTTTAAGTGAGATGTGTTGAATGGAGCGTGTGTCCGATATGTGAAGGGGCGCGTTGAGTACCACCGCGGGGGAGGCTACTTACGGGGTCTGCCTAATCTCCCCCTCTAGACCATGGCACGCGAAACATTGCCATCAAGCTTCTCGCAACCTGCCGACCCCCCAGTAGGAGGGAAAAGGAGCATGAGCACGACTTGCCTTGTCTCCCCCTCCTCCGCCTCCTCCTCCGCCTCCTCCTCCTCCCCCTCCTCCTCCTCCTCCTCCTCCTCCTCCTCCCTCCCCCCGCCTCCCCCTCCTACTTGTGATTTGCCATTTTTGCTGCCTCTCGAAAAAACAAAAATGGCATCAACCTTTTGCTGGTGGCCCAACCAGGGCCATCAGACCCGCTACTCCCAAAAGCTGCACCCGACGCGGGGCCCATCAGACCCCCAACTCCGAAACGACACCCCACAGGGCATCAAAACCCATCAACTGCTCCAAGACCAGATAGACTGCCACGGAACTCTCAACTCTAGGTGCAGGCCGTGTGCGGCGCTCGGGGCCTAGTGGCCCTGAGCGCTTCACCCCCCCCCCCATCGGGCCTGAGAGACTGGAGGGGGTGCGGCAGCATGCATAGCAGGTGCAGAATAGATGCCCATGACGTATTGGCTCTAGTTTCCCATCCCGACCCTCCCTGTTTTGAGGGGGTGTTTTTTTTTTCTTGGGCCTGTGCCTCTCGTGGCTGCTTGGGCCCAGGCTCTCGCCGACAGCGGCGAGTGAAACTGTCTGATCGGTGTGCTGCGCGAGCCGAGGGTAGTGTGAAAAAGGATCCCGTCTGGCCATCTTGGAGCTCGTTCTCAGAAGCTCTGTTCTTGGGACCCCCCACACGACAACTTCTCGCCCGAAACCTACCAACGCCCTCTTCCTGGCCCCCCTCCTGGCCCCGGCATCCCCACCCCGGGAGAACCCTGTTCTTGGGACCCCCCACACGACAAGTTCGCGCCCGAAACCTACCAACGCCCCCCTCCTGGCTCCCCGCCTGGCCCCGGCATCCCCACCCCGGGAGAGCTCTATTCTTGGGACCCCCCACACGACAATTTCTCGCCCGAATCCTACCAACGCCCCCCTCCTGGCCCCCCTCCTGGCCCCGGCATCCCCACCCCGGGAGAACCCTGTTCTTGGGACCCGCCACGCGACAAGTTCGCGCCCGAAACCTACCAACGCCCCCCTCCTGGCCCCCTTCCTGGCCCGCGCATCCCCACACCGGGAGAGCTCTGCTCTTGCCATGGGACCTCCCACACGATAATTTCTCGCCCGAAACCTACCAACGCCCCCCTCCTGGCCCCTCTCCTGGCCCCGGCATCCCCACCCCGCGAGAGCTCTTTTCTTGGGACAACCCACACCACAATTTCTCGCTCGACACCTACCAACGCCCCCCTCCTGGCCCCCCTCCTGGCCCCGGCATCCCCACCCGAGAGCTCTGTTCTTGGGACCCCCACGCGACAATTTCTCGCCCGAAACCTACCAACGCCCCCCTCCTGGCCCGTCTCCTGGCCCCGGCATCCCCACCCCGGGAGAGCTCTGCTCTTAGGACCCCCCACACGACAATTTCTCGCCCGAAACCTACCAACGCCCTTTTCCTGGCCCCCCTCCTGGCCCCGGCATCCTTACCCGGGAGAGCTCTGTTCTTGGGACCCCCCACACGACAATTTCTCGCCCGACACCTACCAACGCCTCTCTCCTGGCCCCCCTCCTGGCCCTGGCTTCCCTTCCACGGGAGAACTCTATTCTTGGGACCTCCCACGCGACAATTTCTCACCCGAAACCTACCCACGCCTCCCTCCTGGCCCTTCCCTGGCCCCGGCATCCCCACCCCGGGAGAGCTCTCTGTCTGTTCTTCGGACCCCCCACACGACAAGTTCGCGCCCGAAACCTACCGACGCCCCCCTCCTAGCCCCTCTCCTGGCCCCGGCATCCCCACCCCGGGAAAGCTCTATTCTTGGGACCCCCCCACACGACAATTTCTCGCCCGAAACCTACCAACGCCCCCTCCTGGCCCCCTCCTGAAAGCTCTGCCTCCTTCTGGGGCCCCGGCATCCCCACCCCGGGGAGCTCTGTTCTTGGACCCCCACACGACAATTTCTCGCCCGAAACATACCAACGCCCCCCTCCTGCCCCCTCTCCTGGCCCGCGCATCCCCACACCGGGACAGCTCTGTTCTTGGGACCCCGTATACACGACAATTTCTCGCCCGAAACCTACCAACGCCCCCCTCCTGGCCCCCCTCCTGGATCCCGGCATCCCCACCCCGGGGAGTTTCTGTTCTTGGGACCCCCCACACGACAATTTCTCGCCCGAAACCTATAGACGCCCCCCTCCTTGCCCCTCTGTTGGCCCCGGCATCCCCACCCGGGGAGAGCTCTGTTCTTCGGACCCCCCACACGACAATTTCTCGCCCGAAACCTACAAACGCCCCCCTCCTGGCCCCCTGGCCCCGGCATCCCCGCCCCGGGAGAGCTTTGCTCTTGGGACCCCCCACACGACAATTTCTCGCCCGAACCTACCAACGCCCCCCTCCTGGCCCCCCTCCTGGCCCCGGACCCCCCACACGACAATTTCTCGCCCGAAACTTACCAACGCCTCCCTCCTGGCCCCCCTCCTGGCCCAGGCATCCCCACCCCGGGAGTGCTCTTGGGCCCCGCCTCACGACAATTTCTCGCCCGAAACCTACCAACGCCCCCCTCCTGGCCCCCCTCCTGGCCCGGGCATCCCCCCACACCGGGACAGGTCTGTTCTTGGGACCCCCCACACCACAATTTCTCGCCCCAACCCTACCAACGCCTCCCTCCTGGCCCCCCTCCTGGCCCCGGCATCCCCGCCCCGGGAGAGCTCTGTCCTTGGGATCCCCCACACGACAATTTCTCGCTCGAAACCTACCAACGCCCCCTTGGATTTGTTTCGCTGTTTTTCTTGGTTGTTTCTTTTTGTCCAGTTCGAATCCGCCTCCATGCCCCCTGGCACATTCAGGCGTGCTAGAATGCCAAGTGCTGTCTGGTAGAGTTTATGCAATCTTTCTAAAGGCCCCCCTCCCGGGCCACTCTTTCCGAGGCTGTCGCGGTGCCCCGACATCGTCGTCGTCGTCCTCCTGCTCCTGCTCCTCTTCATCATCATCATCCTCCCCCTGCCCTCGATCGGAGCGATGCTGACCTTTGGGGTCGGCGGCAGAGGCGGCAGCCTTTAGGATTATCGATGCGAGGGTGGACTCCTCTGGAAGACGACGCTGTTTTCCAAAGGCCTTGGACGAGAAATTCAGACACCATGCACCGTCATCACTATTTGAAGCCGAAACGATATTACTCGACACAGCGGCAACTCATCGGGAGGGCGCGCGCAACACGCGACGACGGTTCAACGAGCAAACGTGAAACTCGCCTCCTTTTAAGGATCTGCTTCAACAGAAGCGTCATGCACGGGGGCCCAGCGACGCATAGAGTTTCCAACAACAATACGGAAGCATATCCGCAGGGAGCTCATATAACAAAAAGTACAGGTTTCCAAACTATCCTGGACGAGTTTATCGAGCTCGACCGGATCAACGACGCAAGGAGACTACCAGCATGTCCTTCTGAAGTTGGATCTGGCACAAAAACGGGGCCAAATGATTTTGCCAACTACTCGGAAGGGATCTGCAAGACCGGATGGACGTACTCCTTTGGATCAGCTGTTGCGCATCTGCAATCTATATTGGACGGCTGCTCTACGAGGGTACGCCCATTCACTGCGTGGGAGCTTCGACGTGAACTGAAATCGATGGAACTCTGGAGGGGTTCAGATGAGTTTGGGATCGCGGCGAAAATGTTCAAAGCATCTTCTGAGAAGTTCTTGGCCCTTCTACTTGCCTTGTTCAATCAGATGCGGAATGAGGGCGCAATTGACCCAACCTGGAGAGAGAGACAGTGATTTCGATCCTACCGAAGGTTGGTGACCTGAGCCCAGAACTGGAGGCCCGTCGCAATGTTAACAATACCTGACAAACTCTTCGCGCGTCTATTGTACCACCGCCTTCGCGGCGTGTTGGACGCCCAACAATCAGACGACCAAGTTGGATTACGAACTGCACCATCGATGGATGATGCTTTGTTTGTAGTATTCGAAGCTGTGTGCGGCAAGTGCTTGGAATGGAATGTGCCCATGTGGCATTCAAGCCTGGACGAATTGAATTCCAACCGCTGCTTGACTCGCTCCGGAGCCAAGGCGTGGGAGAAGAGTACATCGCAATGTTATCCGCCATCTATGCAAACCAACGCGGGCGAATTCGCGGTTCTCGCTGTTTTGACACACGCAGAGGCGTCAAACAAGGCGACGTCCTGAGCACACTGCTTTTCAATGCGGGGGTCGAAGCAGTACTTCGCAAACGGAAGGACGGGGTAATTGGAAAAGGCGATCGAGTTGATGATGGGGGCGCCTTAACAAATATCATATACGCGGAAGACACCATGATTTTCGCTGCATCACGTGTGGATCTCATCATAATGGCCATGGCGCTCACAAAGGAACTTGCTGAAATAGGTTTCAGCCTGAACGCCGGAAAGACGTCAGGTATTCACGACAATATGCAACATCAACGTGGGTTCGCTGGACGTTGGAGGCGAGCCCGTGGACGTCCTGAACGGTGACATGGCCCACAAATACTTGGAAAGAAGTTGTGCGGCAACCTGCGTTCGAGAAATTATTTTGAGGTTGGACATCGGGTTAAAACAGCATGGATGATATTCCATAAGCGTCGCGACATATCAATGGACAAGCAATTGAGCATATACTCCCAGATCACATGCTTCAACACAAAAATTACTCCAACGATATTGTTTGGCCTCTCGTCTTGTGCAATGACACGGTCACAGTTGAGCCCACTAGATGTGGTTCAACGGAGGATGCTTCGAAACATCGTTGCTTGGATTCGCCTCGAAGACAAGCCGTGAGACGACACAATGCGAAGGATGAGGCTGAAACAGAATGCTGCCCTACCATCATATCCAATGGAAGACTGGAGAATCCATTTGTTACGACGACAGTACAGGCTGGCCCATCGAGCAGGCACGATGGAGGACAGCTGGCCTGCAAGAGTATTGCGTTGGCACCAGCCTGCAACTTGTCTTGGGGCTGGACGATCCCGTGGACGACCCGCAGTGAGATGGGACGACTATCTGCGCAAACTTGCGAAGGAGTACTTTGAGATCGAACTTCTGAAATGAGTGTAGACAATGACTTTCTCGAGCACGAAGAAGACTTCGTCCATTTTTCACTCGGGCTCCAACAATGATCAGTAGCGCCCGATTCTGGGACGAGCATTGACTCGATCGGACTGCCTGCCTGCCTGACACCCACCCGACAATTCTGGGCTCGAAAATCATCCCGACCTCCCACCTCGCCACCACCCCGTCACTACCAAGCCCCGCACCCAGACTCCATGGAACCGCTGTTCTTGGGCCCGCCCACTCGACAATTCCTGGCCCCGAAACCACACCGACCCCCCACCTCGCCACCACGCGGTCACCACCAAATCTGATACCCCGACCCTTTCTTGGGTTCCCCCACCTGACACTTCGTGGCCCGGAAGTAACCCCGACCTGCCATCTCGCCACCACCCAATCACCCCCAGGTCTGGCACCCCGACACTGAAACCTCTGCCATTCCGAGTCCCCACCTCGCCACCACCCCGTCACCGCCCGCTCCGGCACCCCAAACCCTTGGAACTTCTGTTTGTTGGGCTCATCCACCCGAAGATTCCCGGCCCGGAACCCACCCCGACATCCCACGCACCCTTTTTTCAAACGCCTGTTCTTGGCGCCCTCCACCTGTCCTTGCCCAGAACCGACCCCGACCCCCACCTCGCCACCACGTCACCACCAGATGCGGCACTCCGACCCTTTGGAACGTCTGTTCTTAGGCCCCACCGACCGACAATTCCTGGCTGGAACCAACCCCGACCCCGCACCTCGACGCCTCTGCATCACCACCAGGTCTGGCACCCCGACCGTTTGGAAAGTCTGTTCGTGAGCCCCTTCACCCAAGAATTCCTGGCCCCGGAACCAGCCCCGACTCCCCACCTCGCCACCACCCCGTCAACACCAGGTCCGCAACCCCGACCCTTTGAAACTTCTGCTCTTGGGCCCCCCCACCGAACAATTCCTGGCCCAGAACCCACCGGCACCCCCCCGACTCCCTGGAACCTCTGCTTTTGGCCCCTCCCACATGACAATTCCTAACAAGGAGCCCGCACCCGTTCCGTTTTCGGATGTTGCCAGAAATGCCACTGGCCTAAGGTGCCCCCAGGATTTCCACGGAGGCTCCCACGGATTCCAGAGGACCTCTCAGGAAACCCAGAGGGCAGGTGCTCCAAACTGGAGCGAAAAACTGAGGGCACCTTGGCCCAAAGACACCTTGTAGCAAGTCTTAAGTCGGGCGTGTCCCCCTACAGGGGGATTTTCGACGAAAAATAAAAAATACCCCCCAAATACACCAAAAAGGTAAAACAATATTCCAAAAATAGTCCCCAGACTATTTTTGGATTGTTTTTCGACTATTTTGGGGGTACTTTTCATTTTTCCTCGAAAACCCCCCTGTAGGGGGACAGGCCCGACTGAAAGCAAGCCCTGGCATCCTCCTGCAATCGTTTTCTCAAGCCGGCTCGATCCGTGGTGGCCTCGGGGCCCGAGACCGGGCGAAAGCGCCTGGCGTGAAGCTCAGGGACTGGCAGCTGAATGAGCCTTGCGCCCCACGCGCTCAAGGCACGGTGGCAGATCGGGCAGCGGCAGGTGCAGTGGAGGGCTGAGGAGGAGGAGGAGGAGAAGGAGGAGGAAGAGGAGGAGGAAGAGGAGGAGGAGGAGGACCGAGGAGGACCGAGGAGGAGGAGGAGGAGGAGGAGGAGGAGGAGGAGGAGGAGGAGGAGGGGAAGGAGGAACGAGGAGAAAAAGGAGGAGGAAAAGGGGACGAAAAGAGCGCCAGCTCCGTCCAGTTTCCATGCCCCTCGGCTGGGAACCGGCTGCCGCTGCGCGAGGGACTGCAGCCTCCCCCTGCCGCCGAGGCCGCCCTGCAGCTGGCTCAGGGGCGCCTCCACGGAGGGCGGCACCGGCTGCAGCAACATGTCCTCCGCGCGGGCGCGCGCCGACCATTCACTGGCCCCGACACACGGCGACACCGGCCCCGACACCGAGGCTTCTCGTTTTGGGCAACCCCACGTATGCCCGCGCACGCCAATGCTGCGTAACCCTTCGGACCTGTCAGGTTATCCAAGGGGGGCGGAGGCAGGCGGGCCGATAACCCGGCTTATCGCCAGACCCGAGTAAACCAACTTCCAGGATCCCAAACCCCCTCGCGTCGTGAACAAATCACGGCGGGAAGTTCTTTACTATCTTGAAACCTCGGGGGGTCGACGCTGCAGGCTTCGCACGATCCTGCAAGAGCCTGCAGGATCCTGCACCCAAGCCTGGGTCAATGCGACCCTGGCCCTGCAGGATCCTGCAAGACCCGGCGCTCTGGCTAACCCTGTTTGCATCGACCCCCGTCGCTTGAGCCCCGAGACGCACACGCCTGCCCAGGCCCAGCCGGGAGGGCGTGTATGCCGGTCTTGGGGCCTTCGAGGTTGGCCTGGCCAGGTTTGGCGCAGGTGTCTACTACACTTGGCGCCCAAGGATCCCGGGGTGTTTCGCGGGTCCTTAGCGGCGCGCCGGAAAAGATGTCGCGAAGGGGTGGGGCTTTCTAAAAAGGCCCCCCTGCTTCCCAGAACCCCGACGTCATGATCGTTTCATGAAGCTGGCGCCAAGAGGTTCCGACCCATTCCCAGGACCAGCTTTTCATCCCGAGTCGCTCTTTGCGACGGTTCTGGGGCCCGTAAGGCTCCCCACAAGGCCGACAATAGCAACACAAACTCCCGTCGTGATTTTCTCACGACGGAACAGCAATAAATTTCTAAACCAGCGTGCAGGCCATCTGGCCTGCTGTGACGGCGCAAGGAAAGCGCGTTTTTGAACCATTCGCGACACCGCTCGTTACCGGGGACGCACTTCCGCCGCCCCCTGGTGATGTTGTCACAATTCTCGCCGGCGCCGCCTGGGATGGTTAGGGGTAGCGAGCTAATTCCCAAAACGCCGTCCTCCCCCCTGCACAGCCAGGAGCGCTGACGCCAGCATCCTCGCCAACACAGCCAGGATCACCGACGCCGGCATCCACGCGGGCACAGCCGTGGGCATCGACGCCGGCATCCTCGCCAGCTCAGCCAAGAGCACCGTCGCCAGCGCCCTTGCCAACTCAGCCAAGAGCGCATGCGCCAGCACCCTCGCCAGCGCGACTGGGAACGTCGCCAGGATACGACGGCATCCCCAGCATCTGCTGGGGCGCGGCGGCGATATTCAGCGACCCAGGCCCCGGGCCACCAGCTTGTCTCTACCCTAATTGGGACGCCGCACAAGCGCCGCACTGGGGAAAGGCGGTGCCGGGCAGGCACGCGCGGCAAGAGCGTGCCTCGGAAGTCGAGCCCGTCGCTGTTCAGCAGCAGTCGGAAGCAGCACGACGGATTCAAGCAATGCTTCCAGCGGCGCCATCCAGCGCAAACCCACCGCGAGCGCGACTTGCAGCAACACGACCGCGATCACCATAACGGAGAAGGGACTCCAGCATCATCGCGAGCCGCGCGGGGGACCCCAATAGCGCGACAGCGACCGCAACGACGGACTCCAGCGGAACCGTGAGCAGCGCGGCGGATTCCAGCAGCACGCCCGCGGGCAGCATGGCAGACTGCTCCGGCAGCACCATCGCCAGCAGCACGACGGATTCCAACAGCGCGAGCACGCGCAGCATGGCGGACCCCAGCAGCTCTGGCGAGCAGCGCGACGGACTGCCGCAGCACGACCGCGAGCAACATGACGTTCCTCAACAGCAGCACTGCGAGCAGCGCGCCGGCCTCCAGCAGCACGGCCGCGAGCAACGCGACAGACTCCAGCAACGCGGGCGCGAGCAACGCGACAGACTCCAGCAACGCGAGCGCGAGCAACGCAACAGACTCCGGCAGCGCGACAGCGGGCAGCAAATCGGGCCCCAGCAGCGCCATCGCGAGCGCCGCGAAAGACTTCAGCGACACGACCACGAGCCGCACGACGGACTCCAGCAGCGCCATCGGGAACGCGACGGTCTCCAGCAGCACGACAATGAACAGGACAGACTCTAGCAGCACCGTCTTGGGCAGCAGGACGGACTCCAGCAACTCAACCACGAGCAGCACGACGGATTGCAGCAGCGCGGCAACGGGCAGGATGACAGACTCCAGCAGCATCATTGTGAGCAGCGCGGCGGTCTGCAGCACAGTCGCCCGCATAATGACAGATCCCAGCAGTGCCATCGTGAGCAGCGCGAAGAACCCCAGCAGCACGACCGCGAGCACGATGACATATTCTAGCAAGACCATCGCGGGCAACACGGCGGACTCCAACGGCAAGGCCGTGATCGGCATAGCGGGTACCAGCAGAACCTTCATGTGCAGCAGGACGGACTCCAGCTGCACGACCGTGCACAGCACGGCGGACTCCAACCAAACCATTGCCAGCAGCATGACGGACTCAAGCAGGTGAGCACCATGACAGACCCCAGCAGCATCATCGCGAGCAGCACCACGGACTCCAGCAGCACGACAGCGAGCTACATGGCGCACTCCGTCGGCGCTGCGAGCAGCACGACGGATCCCCGCAGCACGCCCGCGGGCAAAATGACGGACTACTCTAGCAAAACCATCGCGAGCAACGCGACGGATTTCAGCAGCACGATCGCGAGCAGCATGACGGACCCAAGTAAGAACACCACGATCAGCGCGACGGGCTCTGACAGCGCGACCGCGAGCAGCACGATGGACCTCGGCAGCGCAATCGCGAGCGACGCGACAGTCTCCTGCAGCGCGACCGCGAGCAGCATGTCGGACTCCAGCGGCACCATCGCGAGCGCCACGTCGGACTCTGGCAGCGCGACGGTGAGCAACATGACGGACTCCAGCAGCAACATCGCGACCTTCGCGATGAAATCCGGCAGCGACGGACTGCAGCAGCATGGGCGGGAGCAGCATGGCGGACCCAGGCAGCACCGTCGCGAGTAGCATAACGGTCTCGTCCTGCAGCACGATCGAGAGCAGCATGACGGACCCCAGCATCACGATCGCGAGCGGCACGGTGGACTGCAGCAGAACGACCGTGGGCAGAATGACGGAGACCAGCAGCACCAGTCGCGAGCGGCACGGCGGACTCCAGCAGCACCGACATCAGCAGCCTGGCGGACTTCAGCAGGATATCGAAAGCAGCACGACGGACTCCAGCGGCACGATGGCCACGCGGTGGCCACGCGATGGCCTCCAGCAGCACCACCACGAGCAGCACGGCGAAATCCATCAGGACCACGGGGAGCAGCACGACGGCCCCCAGCACGAGCATCGCGAGCAGCACGGCGGAACTCAACAGCACGACCGCGAGCAACACGACAGTCCCAAGCAGGACCATCATGAGCAGCACAATTCCCCCTGCAGCACGACCGGGAGAAGCATGACGGACTCCGCCAGCGCCATTGGGGGCAGCGCGACGGATTCCAGCAGCGCGACCATGAGACACAGGACGGGCGCCAGCAGCGCCATCGTGAGCAGCACGACGGACCCAAACAACACCATTGCAATAAGCACGACGGAATTCGGAAGCACGGATGTGAGCATGACGACGGGCCCCAGCAGCACCAGGTTCCGATGGCCACGCCGTGAGCAGCGCAACGAACTCCAGCCGCACGACCGCTAGCATCAGGACGTACTCCAGCAGCGCTCTTGCGAGCGGCGCGACGGACTCATGCCGCGCCATCGCGCGCAGTGCGACGGACTGCAGCGGCGCGGATGCGAGCAGCATGGGCGGCCCCTGCAGCACCGCCGCGAATCGCACGACGGTCTCCAGCAGCAGGATCGCGAGCGGCACGCCGGACGCAGGCAGCACCTCCATGAGCAGCGCGACGGACTCCAGCAGCACGACCGAGATCGGCATGACAGATTCCAGCAGAGCCGTCGCGGGCAACGCGCGGGTCTCCAGCAGCACGACCGCGATCGGCATGACGTACCTCAGCAGCACCATCGCGAGCAGCGCGACGGGCTCCAGCAGCGCAGCCGCGAGCAGCGTGCGGATTTCAACCATATCATCGCGAGCAGCACGACGGAACCCAGAAGCGCGGCCATGAGCAGCATGACGGACCCCAGCAGCACCATCGTGAGCAGCGCGACAGACTCCTGCAGCGCCACCAGGAGCTGCATGACGGACCCCAGCAGCACCATCGCGCGCTGCGCGACGGACTCCAGCAGCGCGGCATGGCGGACCTTGGCAGCACCATCGCGCGCAGCACGACGGACTCCAGCAGCACGGCCGCGCACCCTCTCCAGGCCTCGAACAGGGCGCGCGAGAAGGGCAACCAGGCGCGCGGAGCCCGCGTGACAGGCACCCAGACAAGGCCACCGCGGCGTGCTTCGGGGCGGGCGTCGACGGCGCAGAGCGCGCGAGGCTGCGCCCCCGCTTAGCGGACGCTCGGACAACTTAAAAAAAATCGCGTCGGACAGGCCGCCGGGCGCGGCCGGTGGGCGGCCCCGCCTCGGCGACGTGCTCCAGCAAGACGACGGCGCCCGCCGCCGTGGCCTGGGCCGCCAGCTGCGCGCCGCGGGCGGCGTCCTACGCGCTCGTTTCGACGGCGTCTCCAGCGCGCCGGGTGGGCCCCCTGGCCCAGGGCCCCCCCCCTCCAGGGGGCGGCCGCAGCGATGGCGGGCCCGGCGGACTGGTCGGAGCGGCTGCGCCTTCATGGGCGGGCGCCCCGCCGCAGCTCCGCGCCGCGATCGGCGGCGCCACAGGGGGCCCCGGCGCCGCGTCGCCCCCTCCGAGGAGCACCCCCAGCAACGATGGGCCCGGCTGATCGCGCAACCAGTCTGCCCCCCCAAGGACGGGCGGCACCTCGGCGGCGACTGTCGCGAGCGGCGACTCCCCCGGCAAGCCAGGCGAACGACTGGGGGCGATGGCCGCGACCATTCCCGCCTCCGACCCTGGCCACGGCCCTTTGCAGCGCCGTTGCTGACGACGCGGGCGCGGCGGAGACCGCGCCGCCCGGGGGGGGGGGTCGCGACGGCCGCGCGGCTGCCGGGGCCGCCGCAAGGGGCGCGCGAGAAGGGCGAGCTGCGGCAGCAAGCAACAGCAAGCGCAATCGCAAGCTGGGGCGCGCCACCGCGGACGGCGCTTGCAGGCCGAGGCGCGCCGCGCGCCTGTCGCGCGAGATGCTGCTGGCTGGCGGCGCGGCCGCGCCTCGGGGCCGCTGGGCGGCTGGCGCTGCTGCTCGGCCCGGGCGCACAGGCGCGGGCGGTGGAGCTGCCCTTCGCCCCAGGGGGGCGGGGCGGCGCTCGCGCGCGCGCCGACCAGATGCCTCCCCCCGCGCGCCGCCCCCCCAAGCGGCGCGCCCCCTCCCTTTTCCTTTGGGCGCGGCCACTCCCCCGCCAAGCAAGCTCTCACCCTTCCCGGCGCGTTCCGACTGATCGCCGCTCCCCCGGGCGGGCGCTTCCGCAGAAGTTTGCGCGCTGCCCGGGGGCGGGTTTCAACGCGATGGCGCCGTGGGGCGTCGCTGCCGTGCTCTCGCAGCGATAGCGCGGCAGCGCGGGCCGGCCTCTGGTCTCCGCCCCTGCGCGCTGCCTCCGCAGCTCGGCGCCCTCCGCCCGCCGCGCCTGTGGCTGGGCGCTGCCGGCTGCGATGCGCGGCTGGGGCCTCCGCCCCTCCTCCTGCCCCCCGCCCTGGTCACCGCTGCCCGGCCTCTGGCGGCGCGCGGTGCCTCCGCGCCGCCCGCGCCACCTCTGCAGCCCTCGGCCACCGCCCTCCGCGGCGCCGCAGCCGTCGACCTGCCGCGGTCTCGCGGCCCAACCTCGGCAGTTCAGCTCGGAGGCTCGCGGCCTTCTTGCCGCGAACAACTCGCTGGCCAGCCCCTCGGCCCTGGCCCCCCACGCACCGCGCAGCCGCTGAGCGCAGAGGAAAAACTGGCAGCATGGCCAATCGACCAACGCTCGGGCGCCTTCCGAACTCGCTCGGCTCGACTCCAGCGCCGAAGGCTTCGGCCCTCGCCCCCGGGCGCGACGCCGCCCCGCGCCGACCGCCGGGGCGCCCCAACAATGACCGGCCGCGCCAGCCACGCATGCCGAAGACCTGCGTGCTGCGAGCGCCCCCCCTCCCGCCTCTTGCTCCGCGGCCGCCCTCCGCTCCGCATCCTCAGCCGGACAACTAACGCGCTCCGCACCGGCTGCTAGGGCGCGCGAGCAGATTGCCCCTGCCGCGCCGGCGGGGAAAGCAATGATTGGCGGTGCGGTTCACTGTCGCGCGGGGCCTCGCGCACTTTCAGGTAGCCCGGCCCGATTGGGCGGGTGGTCTGGTTCACTTGCGGGAAGGGGGGCTGCTCTACATTTAGGTGGTCTGACATTCTTTGATGGGTGATCTTAATGCAAATGGGCGGGCTCTGGTCTACTTCTGGGCGATCTCGAAGCTGAGCGGGACCTGGTCTCCCGCCAGCCTTTGGGTGATCTGGCCTGCTTTGGCGGGTGGTCTGGGTTACTTGCGGGCGGAGCCTGGGCCGCTGTTGGGTGGTCTGGCCCACTGCATTAGGTGGTCTGGATTGCTGTCGGGCGGGCTTCACATGCGGTCGGCCTGGCTTGCTCCCGCGGGTGGTCGTGTACTTTTGGCCAGGATCTGGCCTGCTTCTAGATGGTGTGCTTGTTGTTTGATCGGGGTCTGGTCTACCTATGGGCGGTCTGGATTTGCTCGGCGGGCGGCATGGCTAACTCTTGGACGGGGCCTGATATGCTCATGGGTGGTCTGGTATGTTTTTGGGCGGGGCCTGGTCTGACATTGGGCGGCCTGGCTTGCAATCAGGAGTGGTCTACTTCTGGGCGGGGCTCGGTCTTCTTTTGGGCGGCCTAGCCCGCTGCGTGGGTGGTTTGGTTTACCTTGGGGCGGGGCCTGGTAGAATGTTAGGCAGCGTGGCCTGCTCTGGCGGGCGGCATGGATGCTGTTGGGCGAGCCCTGGGTATTGCGGCGGCCTGGGCTGCTCCGACGGATGGTCTGGCGCGCGTTCGGGCAGGGTCGGGTCTACTGTTGGGTGGTCTAGGTTGCTTCGACGGTTGATCTGGTTTGCTTCTGGGCGGGGTCTGGTCTACCTTGTGCGGCATGGCTTCCTTTGATAACTTGTCTAGATTATTCTGGGCAAGATCGGGTTTGCGTTTGGGCGGTCTGGGATGCCGCGACAGGTCTGGCTCGCGGCGGGGCGGGGTCTCGCGACGCGGGCGGGGCGGGGCGGGGTGGCTCGTCGCCTGCTCTAGGGCGACGCGGCCTACTTCGAGGCTGGTCTGTCTACTTCTGGGCGGGGTTAGCCGTGCACTTGGGCGGTCCGACCTGCTGCGACGGGTAATATGGTTTACTTCTGGGCGGGGTCTGGTCTACATTTGGGCGGCCTGAAAATTGCCTCGGCGGGTGGGCTAGCTCACTTTTGGACGGGGCCTGGTCTTCTTTTTGGGATGTCTGGTCCACTTACGGGCGGGGCCCGGCCAACTCTCGGGCGGTCTGGCACGCGGGGGTCTGGCGTGCTCGCGGGCGGGGCTGGGCCCGAGGTTTGGCGGCCTGGATTGCTTTGATGCGCGATCTGGCTTACTTTTCGACGGGCCTGGATCACTTCTAAGTGGCGCGGGGTTTAATTTTGAGCGGGGCCCGGTCTCCTCTCGGGCGGGGTGGCTCGCTCTGCTGGGAGGTGCGCCTTGCGCGTCGACGGGGCGCGGCATGCTGTTGGGCGGCCTGGCCTGATGCGACCGGCGCTGTGGCTCGCGCGTTCAGTCTCCCGTCCTGATGCGGCCGCTGCACGAGTCCACCCCTGCCTCCACGCGCCCCCTCGCCCGCCGGCCCCCCCCTTGATTTTGGCGCCGCGTGCCCGAACCTGCGCTACCTTTCGCCACTGGGCTGGCCGGCCGTCGTATCTGCCGGCGGAGACGCGCGCCTGGGGGCGCCGAAGGGTTAAACTTCTCGACTACGCTAGCCAGTCATCGCCCGCGGCTTGCCTGGCGAACATGGCGGCAACTTCTCGCCGAAACCAAGCGGGCATCATCCCCAGTTGCCCAAGTGGATCGGCGGCAGAACTACCCGCCGCCATTTCAACCTCGCCGCGCGGCATCGCAGCCGCCGGAAAGACACGCATTCCACTGCGCTCGCCGGCGACAGCGCAGCGGGCCAAAAAACAATCACGCCGCTCCACTCGTCGCGGCATCGCCCGCGGCACTCGCCGAGCGCCCGCGCGGCGACCCGAGAAACGCACGGTGCCATTTGACTCGGAGGCAGCGGCGCGACCCCGCTCTACTCTTCGCGCGGCAACGCCTGGGGGGCGAAACAAATCCGCCGACCCCTCGGGGTTTCATCGGCGCGCGGGGTGCTCGCCCCTCCCCAAATCTCCCCCCTGGGAGCCCCGCCTGGTCGGCTTGGGGAAGGGAAGGGGGGGGGGGGCCCGCCGGATGTGCCACTGCTCCGCTGGAAGGTTAATCCAGGAATTCCATGCCGGCCGGTCTCCGACTGCCTCGAACTGCTCCCAGGCGCCCCATGACGGCCCCGGGCGGCCTCCACGAGGCCGAAAAGCCAGCGAATCCCGCCCGGACCATCCAAGAAATCCCCGAAGACGCCCCAAGAAAGCTCCCAGAAGACTCCAGGACGGCCCCACGAAGGACAAATCGACCCATTCCCAGAAAGGAAAACGCATACTTTTACAGATTGGCCGATTCCGTCTTCGCAGCGCCCAGGACTACCGAAGAGGCCCCAGACGCCGCTCCAAAGCTCCCGGGACTGGCCCCAGCGGCGACGGAGCGGCCGAGCGCGCCCGAGAGCTGTTCCAGACGCCCCCAGGAAAGGCCGAAAGGCTCCACATGCGCCCGAGAGGCCCCCGCGCGCCCCGGAGAAAGCGCCCCAGAGGCCACCGCAAAAAAACTCCAGAACGCACGCTCGCAGGCGCGCACGCTCGCTGCGCTTCGGACTTCTGCGAGATCCCGCTGCGGCAGCGACGCGGCGGTCAGATTCCTTGCGATTTCTGGCGCCCGCTGCCGCCCGCGCAGCTACCCGCCTCCGCGGGCCGCTTCGCCCGTTCTCTTCGAGGCGCCCGTCCCGCCTTGAAGCGCCGCCCGGCCCCGTCGCTCGCGACAGATATCCCCTGGTCTTTCGACGGGCGCCCACCGTCTGAGAGCGCGGGCTGCGGCCCGTCTGCCGTCGAAGGCCACGCGGGGGGGCATTCGTGCGTTTTCGCCGCTGGCCGCGCAGCGCGGCGCAGACGGCGCGCGACGGGGCGATGTCTCGAGCCCCGAGCCAGGCAATGGGCCACCTGGCCTCGCGATAGATGCGCGATGTCCGCGAGTGCGGACGTCCGCCATCGGCCTGCGTCGAACGCGCAGGGCGCCGAAACGCTCGGGCCACCTCCTCTCCCCGAGGCACCCGCATGCGTGTGAACGCATCGCGGTCGCCGCCAGGCTGCCCTGGTTGAAATGCATAGTTTCTCGCGCGTTGACAGGCGCCGGCGCTCGGCGAACGCGGGCTTCGGACCGGCGTCTTTCAGAAGGCATGCGAAGCGCCGAGACATCTGGGCCCCCTCGCGCGCCTCGCGGCACGCGCGGTACTTCGCTGGGCGACGGCCGCTGCCCGTCTCATAGACATGCCCCACCTGGTTCTCTGTCGGTCGCCTTCTGCCCGCGAGCGCCAGGCCCCTTCTTTCTTGCCTGTTTCGGACGCGCGAGGCGTGTCAAGAGCGTCTTTCACCGCTCCGCCTTCCGCGCTGCGACCTCCTCGTTCATCTACCCCCCTGTTCTGCGCGCCGCGCTCTTATCGCCCCGCCCGCCCTCGCTTTGCGCTTCGCACTTCGAACGGGTCGTCTCCCCAGCATCGTTCGTCGCGCGCTGGTTCGCGGCGACCTCTGCCTCCGTTCTGAAACAATTATTGCGCCGCGCGCGCCGCGCCGCGAATCTCTCCTCCGATTTGTCCTGCTCTGCGTTCTGCGACTCCTTCCCAAACTTCCTTCGCAACGCCGCCCTGGCGCCCTCGCTCTCCCCCCCTTGCGTTGGTTTGCCTTCTTGGCGCCGGCGTGGGAGTCCTCCTCTGGGCGCCGTCTTTTAGCGACCTCCGCCTCGTCGGCTGCCGCGCCGCCCTCATGGCGCGCAGCATCCCGCGCGAAACTGATGTCCCCGCGGGCAATGCTGAGCTCGGTGACATTGGCCGCCAGTGCGACCAGATACTGTTCGGAACCTTTGCGCTGTGCCTCGGCGCCCTCGAAGTGGTCCTCCACCATCTGTTCGTTGCGGTCGATATCCTTCGGCATGCTGCTGATGACAATCGCTTTGATGAAGGCGGTCTGTGCTTCTGCGTCCGTAGCGGGTAGGCCAGCGGCGCTGGCCTTCAGGATCGCGGCCGCTGTTCAGCTGCCTTGGTTTTATTCCGCTCCTCTTTGAGTTCTGGGTCGTTGCGTGGCGGTTCCCAATTGTACCTTCTGGCGGCGTAGACTTTGCGCATGGGCACGACGCTGCTGATGATGCTGTTAAGGTGATCATTGTAGCCCTGGTTGGACTCCCTTTGCTTATTCTTGGCTGCGGTGTCCTCCTCTTGTCGGGGTGGTTGTTTTCCCTTGCCCTTTTTGTTCCTTGCTCTCGCCCTTGCGCGGCTGGCTGGCGTCCTCGGTGTAGTCGTCGCAAGGCGTAAGGAAGCTGCCCTTGCCCTTGCCGTTTGTGCCATTCACGTTCCTGTTGGCGTCCTTGTCCCACCAGGTGTCTGGGTGATGAGTTGCCCATTGCGCGGTCCATATGTCATCCCTCCATCATGCGAAACCTGCGCGGATCGAGGTTGGTTTCCATGGCGGTGATGTTTTGAATGGCATGCTCGAGGTTGATCCCGATGTTGCCGCCATTGTGGGGTTTGTGGTGGATGCCGCGGTGGTCGTTGCGCGCTGCGATGTGTTTCAGATAGCTTCCGTGCGGGTGCAACTCTGAATGCCGTAAGTGCTGCTGCTCGTTTTCGGCGTTCACGTCGGTGCCACGCTGAATCCTGGCCTGGTGGTTGGGGTGGTGTTGCGTAGTGATGTGGAGGCCTGGGAGATGTGATAAAAAAGGAGTGTGAGGTGTGATTGGGAATTAAATGCTGGTACAAATTCGTGGGCGCCCTCCTGAGGACGGGGCACCGCGTTGGCTGCCGCCCAAATCTTTCGGGCACGCGGTTTCCTCCTCCTCCTCCTCCTACTCCTCCTCCTTCTCCTGCTCCTCCTCCTCCTCCTCCTCCTCCTCCCCCTCCCCCTCCTCCCCGCTCCAGATATTCACCCCTGGACCTCCCAAATAGCAGCTTGACGATGACGGTGACGGTGCCCGCACGAATGTCCACGCGAAGGGACTAATCGGGGTCGGGCGGGGACGCCAAAATGCACGGAATATCATACAACTGAAAAAACTGGCTAGCAGGCATATCCAGGATGCACAAACCTGTGCTCAAGCTCACTTCACGTTTGGGTTCTGGCCAAGTCAGCCCAAGCATCTGTTTGAGCGGCAGCGTCCAGACGCTTTTGCACAGCCGCGCGTCTATCATCTACCCATCGTGTTTTGGGCATCGCTTGTCTACGAACTGGTGAGCGGAAATCTGACCGTAATCCCGAGACGGGCCCAGCCGTAAAGACGAGAAGCCTCCCAAAGGCCCAACAAGCCTCGATCCTCGACCGTCAAGCCTCCCTCCTCTGTCCTCCTCTCCCCCGACGACGAAGACGACGACGACGATCGCGACGACGATTGAGGACTCGGATGGGTTCAGGCATTCCTGGCCCACCTTGAGCTTCCTTTGAAGCTCTCGTCGCCACGGCTGGATCCGCGTCCGGATCCTGGTCAGGGTGGCGGCAACGACGACGACGACGACGCCGCCGCCGACGCCGCCGCCGCCGCCGACGACCACGACCACGACGACGACGATGATGACGACGAGGACGACAACGTCGACGACGACCGACGACGACCGACGACCGACGACGCTCCGCAGCCCCGGCCAAAGCCGAGTCCTGAACGTCCGCGTGGTCGTCCCGCCTGGCTCCGGGCAAGGGCAAGACCGGCCAGCACGGAAATCGAGACACCGCATCGAACTTAAATGTGCTTCGGATCGGGCCGACCGGCACGGAGCCCATACCAGGCAGGGGGAGGGGGGCCGGAGGAGGGAACCATTCCTAGGTGGCGACAGCTGAACCCTACCCCCGCCGCCCACCGAGTTGCCCGAGTCGTTGATCGGCGTGGGTAGGACTCGGATATCGCCGCCGAATTCTCCGACGTCCCGCGCTCGTTGCATTTTCAGGCAGGATCAGTCAGTGTCGAACTGGGAAATCCGATCGGCTCAAAAGAAGCATCGTGACATGGGACGAGGCCGCGCGGAGCCGAAACCGGGCCAGACCAGCCGTGCCAGTATCGCTGCGCCGCCAGAGCATGCCCCCATTCATTGCTGCGGGGCTGTGCCCCAGGACCCAAGGAGCGGTTGAAACCGTGGTTAGAGAAGAGCACGCCCGTCTCAAAGATAGATTGAACTGGGACCGAGCCCCAGACCCCAATTTCAGAGTTCGTGGCGGTCGACCCAGGAGGCGCAGGTCGTCTGGAAAAAAACGCCCACTCTGCAAACTACGGCCTCCGCGCGAATCTGAACTGTGAAATCGGGGGCGCGGGGGGGGGGGGGGGGGGGCGTCGCTCTCTCTCCTTCTGCCAGCTCTGTTCTTGAGCTTGTTCCGAAAGCGCCAGTATGGAGATCTGCCCGGCCATGCGGGCGGGCAGATATGAATTTCCACCACTACCCGAGATTCCAGCGCACGATCTCGGAGCTGTGGGCGTAGGCACACTCTGGCGGTGGGGTCGGGCCGCACCGGACCGCTGCAACATTGAATGGCGTGAATGAAACGGGTCCTCAAGGACTGGTTCCTCATCCAGAGTCGTTTCTTGACAGCCCCTAGGGCCCTAGGGCACAGGCCGCGCTCTGGGAGCCCGATAACGGGGAGAGACATCCATGGGCGAGCAACGACATATGTACATGTACGCCCTCCGCGGTCTTGCCTGCACGAACGTCCGCGTTGACACGCACTCCAGGGGAAGCTAACCGCGTACGTGTACATATGTTGCTGGCCTCTGTATCAGGATCTCTTTCTCTCATTGCCCGGGTGTTGCCAGAAGCGGCCCCGGCCCAGGATGCTCCCAGCTTTTCGCACCATGTTGGGGGCCCCTGGGGCCCTCGGGGCCCCGGAAGGGGTGCTCTGGAAGCCATCTGCACACTTCCCTCGGAAAGCTGAGGTCACCTTGGGCCAGGGCACTTCGGTGGCCTGGGCAGCGTCGTCGTCGTCGTCGCCGCCCAAGGCCGAGAGACGAGGATCCGAGGCGACAACGACAACGACGACGACGACGACGACGACGACGACGACGACGACGACGACGACGACGACGACGAGCAGCCCGGCCACAGCAGCGTCTGCACTCCAAGGGCCGCCGCGGGCAGTGCCGTCTGCGGCCGCCAGCCGCCTGCCGTGGGCGCCTCGGGGGCCGAGGCGCAACATAGCAAGAAAGGGAGGGACCGGCCCGGTGGAAACATCGACCTGGGGGGCATGGGGGCAAGGGGGAGCGATCCGGGGAGACAGAACTTCGAGGTTCGAGGTTTTCGGACGCTTTCGTCGGTTCCGAAGTGGCTTTCCAGCCTCGGGATGCCTTCCGGCGGCTGCGCCTCGCCGATAGCGTTGCAAGGGTTCCTGAAGCGTCCCGAACGGCCGCCGATTTATGACCCGAGAACCACCAGGGGGCCGGCTCGGGGGGGAGGGAACACATCTTACCAGCCTCGAACGTATCCCTATCCTTAAGATTGACACGCCAAAAGGCGATGACAGTCTCAGGGACTCGCCCTCAAAAATAAGGGAACCCCTAAGATTGGCATCGTGATGAGCAGGTGCCCAGCATAGGGATAGGGATATGTTCCAGGCTGGTAAACATCGACCTGGAATCGGCGACGCATCGCCAACAGATCGGCGATAGACGCCCGATCGCGAACTCGCACGGTCCTGGGCGGGGCGGGGCGGGTTGTCGGGCCCCTCGTCGGCGATCCATGGGCGGTTGGGGGTGAACGCATCCCCCCCGAGCCTGTTCCCCCTCTGAACGTTGCCTCTGAGGGGGGGGGGGACAGGAGGAGAATGCGAAGATCGAGGATCGAGGAGGAGGAGGAGGAGGAGGAGGATCTGCTTTTGACGCCCGAAATGAGTACGGAAAAGCTTCCTTGGGATCGCGACTCTGTTCGTTCGAATCGACACACACACACACACACACACACACACACACACACACACACACACACACACACACACACACACACACACGCCCCCCGCGCTTCGTGGGTCGGACACGATGGGCACACACGCGTCTCACCAGGCCTGCTTGGCCGCAGGCTCGCGCATCGGTGGTGGGAGGGTGGGGAACGCGAGGACGAAGACAGGAAGTTACCTGCGGCATGCATCCCCTCCATCCCATCCTCACCTTTTCCCTGCGTAACAACCCGTTAAACGCTGAAGAAGCATGGGTACGATACCCAACAACAAATATTGTCCAAGATCGACAGCGGCCGCTGTTGTGCAAGCCGCCTTCTGTCTCAAATGGACAACGACCGCGACGACGCCGACAGCGAACGAACCCTAGTCAGCATGAACAAAAACTGCTGTTGGACTTTGTGCCCGTTGTTTCCGTACCTACTTCGGTCGCCCTGGTCTTTGCACTCAACCACGCCACACCCCACATGCCATCCTGCGAGTCCTGGTGCTGCTGACAGCACGAGGGGAAGCCGGCGAAGAAAAGAACTTGCAGCTCGCAGCCGCCGCACTCCAGCGGCGAGAGGGCAGAGCTGCGCGCCCGAACATGACTACCTACCAGACCACCCCAACCCAACCCGAAGACCCGAATTTCGGGTTGGGGGGGGGGGTACGGGTTCCATATGTGTTTTCTCTATGTTCCCCGACCCCCCCCCCAACTGGAAATGGAGGGCAAATCGAGACCGTCGGGTTGGGTTGGGGTGGTCTGGTGGGTGGTGAGAACAGAAACCGTCATAGCTCATCGAGCCATGGTCCAGAATACACCCTGCGAAATGCTTAAGAAATCATGGGTTAAGAAATTCATAGTCTCAGAAATTGAACGTAACCCAGAACTTCCATCGAAATCTTGGGATTTACATTGGAAAATTAAGAATAATCGAGACTCTGGACGAAAACGTAGGTTTTCTTAAGCATCGCATAAGGTGCAGGACGGTCGGATCGCGGATGGCCGGGCCATCCAACGCGCGGCCGCGGGGCGTGGAGGCCGGCCCCCCCGTGGGGGCGGGGTGTCGGGTGCCACTGGCGGCTCGAGGGGCTCGGGTGGTCGGAGGGCCAGCGGCGTCCAGGGAAGGATGCTGCTCCAGATTTCGTAAGAAAAGGGAGGGGGTCTGGACCCTCCAAGACAAGCCATTGCAGACCTCCCCCGTGGGAGAACCCTCCAAAGCATCGTCCCCAGACCCTCCCCCAGGCCCTCCAAGATAGCCTGGAAGAGACCCCCCCCCCCGAAATGAGACCCCCCTCCCTTTATTACGAAATCTGGAGTGCAGTCATCGTGCTACCAAAAAGAGCGAAAGTGGCCTGTCCGGCGCGCCGAGCTCTTCACAGCAGTCTTCCTTCGTGTAGAGCCGCACGCGTGGATGCTCGGGTCCCTCACCAAGCTCGGTACAGCTCCCACCCAGGTTTCCGCATCACGGCTCCATCCCCTCCCCCCTTCTTCCCCACCTACGCCCCAGCCCACCTCCCTCTCCCCAGTCCTGTCCCCCTCCCAGACGGTCCAAAGCATCTGGTCTTGGTGTAAAATTTGCATCTGAGGCTTGTGACCATCTGTGTGTCCCAAATGCCAGGCAACGGCGCACGACACTTGAACGTCCAATCTGGGACAATTGCAGCGGCGTTGGACCAGAAACCCAACGTAGGCGCCAGTAGAGAGAGTTGCCTGAGGATGGGCCGACGAGTTAACGATGCAAGGGTACTCTTGTAGAAGAACTCCATCCTTACCTGTATGCCTTGGGCTGCACCTCCGCTGGAATACTTTGTCACACGGTGTCTGGTCAACTCCATGTAAGCTCCTGAGCCTCTGAGCAAACCCTTCGTCTGTTAGCCTCCCCACCCACGAGCAGGAAACGGATCGAAGACAGTGTGGAACGCTGTGACAAACAACATGGTAGAGTCGAATAAAGAGACACTCGATGAAGACTTCAGCTGGCGCGAGGTTTAATATCAAGCCTAGCGTCGGAGGGAAACCTGTATATGTTCTCTCTGCTTATGATTCCTGAGACGTCACTCTGGAAAACACCTGCCGAGTGGAGGAGAAAAGCCTGCAGAGCGGAGGTCCAGTTGAAGAAAAAACTGTGCATCAAGCATTGAGGAACCACTTCGTATCGTTCCCCTCCATCTCCCAACATTAGTATTGAACAAACATTCCCGGATAGTCGAGGCGGGGAAAAACTGAACCGAGCATCTCGAACGCAATGCTTGCTAATGTTGAGGCTGGGGTGGAGGGGGAATTGGAATCTGTCAAATTCGAACGCTGTTTGTTGCATGTTCCGTCGGGTTGCCACTTGGGGGGAATTCGTTGAGCAGGAGGCCAGAACGGGTGCGGAGGAGGAGGGTGCAGCGGCAGCAAGAAGGTGCATCAGTCGCAGGAGGAGCGGCGGAGGGTGGCGCAGGAGGAACAGGAGCAGCACCAAGAGAAAGCGTGGGTTCCCTCTAATTGTGCCCAACCATCCTGTCGTGTTGGGTCCTCGCTGTGAAGAGACAGCATCCCGCGTCTCGTTCCTTTCTTCCCTCCCGCTGCCCCCCTCGTCCCTCCTCCCACCCCTGCCGTTGCCCACCGCATGTCAACCACTTCGGTGCACCCCTCACACGCTTCGTGGCCCTACAAGGAGCTCCACCGAAAGCCCCAGCGGCAACGTCCGCATGGCGACGCCGCAATCAATTCGGCAAACCCTTCATGCGTTTCGTGGCCGCATACAGAGCCCCACCGAAGGGCCCAGCGGCAGCGTCCGCATGGCGTTGGCGCCCCCAACTCGGCAGACCTCTCACACGTTTCGTGGCCCCAAAAAGAACTACACCGAAGGCCCCAGCGGCAGCGTCCGCATGGCGTGGCCGCGCAAAACTCGGCACACCACTCACGCGCTTCGTGCCCCATAAAGAACTACACCGAAGGCCCCAGCGGCAGCGTCCGCATGGCGCACCCGCGCCCAATTCGGCACACCCCTCAAACGTGGCCTCATGGGGAGCTCCACCGAAGGCCCCAGCGGCAGCGTCCGCATGGCGAACCCGCGCCCAATTCGGCGCACCCATCGCACGTTTCGCGGCACCATAGGGGGCTCCACCGAAGGCCCCAGTGGCAGCGTCCGCATGGCATAGACGCACCCTATTCGGCACACCCTCCACACGCGAGCTCCACCGAATGCCACAACGGCAATGTGCGCATGGCGCACCCGCACACAATTCAGCTGACCCCTCACACGTCCCGTGGCCCCATATGGAGCTCCACCGAAGGCCCAAGCGGCAGCGTCCGCATGGCGTGGCCGCACAAAACTCGGCACGCCCCTCCAAACGTTTCGTGGCCCCCAAAACAGCTACATCGAAAGCCCCAGCGGCAGCGTCCGCGTGGAACACCCGCGCTCAATTTGGTACACCCCTCAAGCGTTTCGTGGCCCCATGGGGAGCTGCACCGAAGGCCCCGATGGCAACGTCCGCACGGCGTACCCGCACCCAATTCGGCAGACTCCTCACACGTTTCGTGGCCAAATAAGAAGCTCAACCGATGACCGCACCCAAGTCGACGCACCCATCGCACGCGTCGTGGCACCATAGGGAGCTCCACCGAAGGCCTTGGCGTCAGCGTCCGCAGGGTGCACCCGCACCCAATTCGTCCGACCCATCACACGCTTCGTGGCCCCAAACAGAGTCCCACCGAAGGCCCCAGCGGCAACATCCGCATGGCGTGGCCGCGCAAAACTCGGCACACCACTCACACGCTTCGTGCCCCATAAAGAGCTACACCGAAGGCCCCAACGGCAGCATGCGCATGGCGCACCCGCACCCAATTCGGCACACCCCTCCACACGCTGCGTGGCCCCATATAGAGCTCCACCGAAGGCTCCAGCGGCACCGTCCGCATGGCGCCCACGCGCCCAATTCGGTGAACCCCTTCACATGTTTCGTAGCCCCATACAGAGCCCCCCACCGAAGGCCCCAGCGGTAGCGCCCGAAAGGCGTACCCGTACCCAATTCGGCATACCCCTTCACATGTTTCTTGACTCCATGTGGAGCTCCACCGAAGGCCCAAGCGGCAGCGTCCGCGTGGAGCACCCCGCGCTCAATTCGGCACACCCCTCAAACGTTGCGTGGCCCCATAGGGAGCTCCACCGAAGGCCCCAGCGGCAACGTCCGCATGGCGTAGACGCCCCAAATTCGGCACACCCCTCACACGTCTCGTGGCCCCATAGGGAGCCCCCCCAGCGGCAGCGTCCGCATGGCGTGGCCGCACAACATCGGCCCACCACTCACACGTTTCGTGGCCCCATAAAGAGCTACGCCGAAAGCCCCAGCGGCAGCGTCCGTACAGCGTCGCCGCACAACATCGGCACACCACTCACACGTTTCGTGGCGCCATCAATAGCTACGCCGACAGCCCCAGCGGCAGCGTCCGTATGGCGTCGCCGCACTCAAATCCACTGACCCTTTCACACGTTTCGTAGCCCCATGAAGAGCTCCACCGAAAATCCCAGCGGCAGCGTCCGCATGGCGTAGCCGCACCCAAGTCGGCACATCCCTCACACGCCTCGTGGCCCCATACGAAGCTCCTCCAAAAGCCCCAACGGCAGCGTCCGCATGGCGTACCCGCACCCAATATCCAGCACACCCCTCACAGCTTCGTGGCCTCACAGGGCGCTCCACCGAAGGCCACAGCGGCCGAAGGCCCTCACTTGCACGCGATACTTGCAGCTGCACATCGTAGGGTCCTTCGCCAGGATGAGTTTTAAGACTCCGGGAGGCCAAGTCAGGCCTGCGTACGTAAGGCGGGCGCGTGGCGTCGTTGGGCGTGCGTAAGACTTGTACCTTGGCATCCTCTCTACGGATTCTTTTGAGCATGCCTAAACCAGTTCAGAGTGGTCGTTTGGGCTTGGGTATGGCCTTTTCGGGCATGCCTAAACGAGTTTAGCGGTTGTGGCCTTAAATCCAAGGGAGCCCAACGCATCAGAAGCAGGAAGGGCGGTGGCGGATCTACCGCCCTTCACTCACCTCCCCTCGCATGCCCGAAATACATGGGGGCTGGAAAAAAAGAGGACGACACCCGACAGCAAATTAACACCAAAACCAGCAGAGATGGGCAAGCGGCGTTTGTCCTAAGCTCGCAATGCCCGCGGCGACACTGACAGCGAGTCATCTTGAAGATGGACAGCGACTGCTGTTGTCTGCGTCACCATCCCCATTCGTTCCATCCCCATTTCGATCGTACCGTTCCCCTCGGGGTGGCCGAATTTCCGATCCTCTGGGTGTGTCTCCCGCCCTTCCCGGGGCCGGTCACGGCGACAACACAACCGAAAACCGACCGATCGAATGACGAAACCGAGACTAGCCGAAACCGGCAGGCCGCAGGCAGCCCAGAAGGCAGCAGGGACGCGAGAACGGCGCAACAACGACGCAACAACCGCCCAAACCGACCGAACGCGACCGACTTCGACGCATTCAAACCGACCGAACCGTGGACACCCTTGGACAACCACTGACATCGCACGATATCGCTGCGTCCTTCACCACGAGGTTGCCAAGCTTGATAAGGGGGGCCCGTCTTCACGAAGAGGCCTTGTAACTCTGGAGAGCCAGCTCGACGAACTTCGTCGCACTCACAATGAAGCCCGTGAGAGAGAAGCCGCGCAGAACGTATTTTGTCTAGCGCCCACCAACCACCCCAAAACAACTGATTGCTTTTGCTCGAAGGGCTGGCCGTTTTGGCGCCGTTCGCCGCTGCGGCGGCGACGTTCAGCTGCCCGTTCGTGTTCTGACCTGTGTCTGGGCCCCGTGCTCCTCTACTTGACTTTGCGTTGTCCGTTCCCCTTGCGGCTTCTTGTTCGCATTCCCGGGTGGCTTCCAGACGTGGCGCCACAAACAGTCACGAAACCACCCAGCGTGTGCCCCGTTGGCCTTGTGAAGTCCCCCTCCCCCCCGAACGCTGACACAACCTGTGTTTGCCACATCAGGACCGAAGGGACATCTCAGGCCACGGGTACCCCTGGCCACGAATAGGCCCCCCGAGCCAGACCTGAGGAACGCACCCAAGAACCGTGGCCCATCCTGAGCCCTTCAACATCTTGATTGTACTTCCAAATTGCCTTTGTTGGGGCTGAGAAGAGAACTGCATAAACATACACGTTAGGATGTCCTCTCAAACTTCCGATTGTTTATGCTAAAACCGATGCTGCCTTTTCGAACGGAACCACCTAACCTAAGACCGGAAAACACCCATGAGTGAAACCGGCATGAGACCAGAACCAGAGGGCGCAGGCCCGACACCCTCTCGAGACCCGAGAAAGGGCAATTCGCTGAACGCCTTGGTAGGGTGGGAGTTCTGTCAACCTCCGATACGCTAGCGTCTTGATGAGGGGCAGAGAGGAGGACTTGCGCATGGGGGGGTGGGCAACAGCCTGGAATCGGCGACACATCGCCGATGGATCGGCGACAAACCCCCGATAGTCACAATCCGAACGCTCCTGGACGCGGTGGGCGCTTGGGCCCCTCGGCCCCTCGGCAATGAACGAGCGATCGGGGGTCGAGGCATCGCCCCACGAGACGCAGAGCGCAGCTATACACCATGCACCACCACCGCGCCTGGCCAGGTGCATCCCGGGCCCTAATGGTGCATGCGCCATCCTGGCCGAGGCCAGGAGGTTTCTTTTTTATCCTTTGTCGTTTCACCGTCCTTGCACACAGGATGGCCTTGGCCACGCATGGTGGTGGTGCATAGATAGAGTAGAAGAAGAAGAAGCTGCGTAAGCCTTAGTTTTCTGAGTTCCGCGCGGATTTCGGAGATCGGCGTTGGGCCCCCCTCCCTGGCGCGCGGAGCGCGCCAGGCGCGGAGCCAGAGGCGCCGCCAGCGGAGTCCAGAGCCGATCCAAGAAATCCGCTCGGAGCTCCGAAAGTTGTGGCTTCTGCCGCTGTTTGCTCCTCGACTGCTGCGGACCTGAGCCCGCTATACGGGTGTCGGGAACAAACAAGCAACACTCACGCATAACACATGGCCTGAACTCCCCCCCCTTGCCCCCGAATGCAGTGCTGTTCCTTCGGACCCTCCGACTTTTGAGTGCCCGAGCGGTGCAGCAGCACATAAGCGTGCCAACTGTGCACTGCGGGGAAGGGGGGAGTGTTGCTTGTTTGTTCCCCTCAACCGCACCTCCCACTGCGGCTGCCCCTCTCGGGCCGGGCGAAAGGGGGGGATAGCAAAGGGGGGGGGGTGAGAATCAGCTCACCTAGCGGCCTTTCCCGGGGCGCCTCCCGGCGCCGAAAGGGGCTATGTCTCGAGGCATGGGCCCCTCGGCGAGGCCGAAACCAGCTGCACGCCGCACATCTCGTACCCCCCCTTTCCCAATCCCCCCCTTCCGCCCGGCCCGGCCCGCTCGGCACCGAGGCCCCTCGGCACCGAGGCCCCTCGGCACCGAGGCACCGCCGCTCGGCACCGAGGCCCCTCGGCGCCGCTCGGCACCGAGGCACCGAGGCACCGCCCCTCGGCACCGAGGCCCCTCGAGGAGGAGGAGGAGGAGGAGGAGGAGGAGGAGGAGGAGGAGGAGGAGGAGGAGGAGGAGGAGGAGGAGGAGGAGGAGGAGGAGGAGGAGGAGGAGGGAGGAGGAGGAGGAGGAGGAGGGGGAGGAGGGAGGAGGAGGAGGAGGAGGAGGAGGAGGAGGAGGAGGAGGAGGAGGAGGAGGAGGGGGAGGAGGAGGGGAGGGGAGGGAGGGGAGGATGGAGGAGGAGGAGGAGGAGGAGGAGGAGGAAGGGGAGGAGGAGGAGGAGGAGGAGGAGGAGGAGGAGGAGGAGGAGGAGGAGGAGGAGGCCCGCTCGGCACCGAGGCCCCTCGGGAGCCTTCCCCCCCCCCGCTCGGCAGCGAGGCCCCTCGGCGCCTGGGCCGCCCGCCGCACGCCCGCGAGCGCCGCCGCCGGGGCGCCGGGCCGGCGGAGCCCTGGCGCCGCGGGCGCCGCGGGGCGAGGTCTCCGACGTCGGCAAGCAGGCAGGCAGGATGCCCAGACCCCCTCGAGTTCTGAAAAAAATCACGACGGGAGGTTGTTCACTATTTTTGGCCTTGGGGGGCCCTTGCCGGCCCTCGGGGCCGTCAGAAAACGGCTCGGGACGAAAAAAACAGGTCCCGGGAAATGGGTCGAGACCTCGGGGGGTCGACGTCATGAAAAAATCATGGCGTCGGGGGTCTGGGGATGGCCAGGCATCCTGAAGGACGCGTGGGCCGGTTGGCGAGGGCACTCGAGGCTCCGGCCGGGACTCGCCGTGAAACATCAGAGCTCAGATCTCCGAGCCATCTACGTATTCGGCGCAAGTCTGATTGGTGCAATTGAACTGCGGACACCGGCTCGTGGCCACTTCCGAGGCTCGGGCAAACATCCCACCCCACCCGCCCGCTCGCAGAGCTGAAGAGACCGCGAGTGCAATTACCAGTCCGAACTCAAGAACGTGTTTTTCAGCCAGGGCGCTCTTACTCCAGCACTTCCTGGACACCAGAGGGGGTGCGCAGGGGGTGGGGGCGCTCTCCGTCGTGACCTCGCAGCGCCTGGCAGGCGTGGCATTTGCTGGACACCAGAGGGGGTGCGACGGGGGTGGGGGCGCTCTCCGTCGTGAGCTCGCAAAGCGTGGCAGGCGTGGCACTTCCTGGACACCAGAGGGGGTGCGACGGGGGTGGAGGCGCTCTCCGTCGTGAGCTCGCAGCGCGTGGCAGGCGTGGCATTTCCTGGACACCAGAGGGCGTGCGACGGGGGTGGAGGCGCTCTCCGTCGTGAGCTCGTAAAACGTCGTAGGCGCGTTGGCATGTGTTGACGCCATATTGGGCCGACTTGGAGCCATCGACTCTGGCCGGCTTCGGGGCATCTTGGTCTATCTTGGTTGACTCGGTTGCCTGTTTGGGCCGTCTTGGAAGCTCGAGACGCGGACACCTTTTCTTTTCCAACGAGGGATAGTGGGCGCGGGAGAGCGGATCCATAGTTTCTGTTACAAGGGATCGTGGCCTCGGGAATCGAGGTGGGAAACGCCCACGCAGGACCTTAAATTCCCGAAACAGTGCTTGCACGGAGGGGTTCTGTCTTCTGTCCTAAGGAACTGGACCGGTGTGGCGGTCTGGCGGCTATGTTGTCGCCGTCGCCGCCCCGCGGCCGCCTTGTCGCCACCCGTTGTCTGGGCCGGTGTGGCGCTCTGGCGGCTATGTTGTCGCCGTCGCCGCCCGCAAAAGTTTCACAGAAGAGATGGCACCGCATAGACTTGTTTCGGAAAAAAAAATCGGTCTCCCACCCTGGGGGTCAGCGGTTCACCTCTTCGTCTTCGAATTTGCATACGATGCTGCCCCATCGTCCATCCTAAAAACGAATTCGTACCATCCCAGGCAGGCCGAGTTCGCCACCCCTTTTATCCTCTTGCAGAAAATATCAGCCAGCGTTGGCTCCAAATAGAGAGGAGGACAGGAGGAGGACGAGAGGAGGATGGGAGGAGGACGAAAGGAGGACGGGAGCAGGACGGGAGGAAGGGAGGAGCAAAATCAAGCAAGCGCAAGCAAGCAAGTGGAAGCAAGCACGCGCAAGCGAACAAGAACAAGCAAGCAAGAGCCAGCAATCAGGCGCAAGCAAGCAAGGGCAAGCAAGACCAAGCAAGCGAGAGCAAACACGCAAGAGCAAACAAGCAAGTGCCATTGGAAAAAGAGGGGGCACTGGAAAAAAAGGGGGGGGGGCATTGGAAAAGGGGGGGTGCTAAAGACCAATTACTTATGATGCACTAGAACTCCTATAGGGCAAGCCCATTTGGAGAATAGGCTTAGGAGAGCGAGGACGTCAGCGCCAAGTCGTTCGTCTGCGAGAACATGGAGTTCTGCGTCGACTGGGGCGCCCGCGAGCGAGCGGCTCGAGCCGTTGTCGCCTGCCGCGGGCTGGGAACCGATGCCGACGCTGGCCAGTCCGCTCGACACTTCGCGCCGCGCGCTGCGGCCTGCCTGAAAATCCAAAACAGGCTGCACTGCGTGTTCCAATGGCCCCACCTCTCCCCCCCCGCCTCCCAGCTTCAAGTCTCTGGGCCCCCGCGGGCCGCGCGACGCTCGCTCGCCGGCCCGGCCCAAGAGCCCAAGAGCGCAGCGCTGGGGCGACACGGCCCGGCCCAGGGCCGGAAGCAGAGCTGCAGCAGGCGCGGCAAGAACGCTGGCTTCGAGACCCAGAGCACTGAAAACAGCAATGCTGCCGGCGAGTCGAGGGCGCGCGGGAGCGGCGCGGGCACCTGCTGCGCGGGGGGAGGAGCTGCCAGCGGGCCAGCGAGCGCCTCGCCCCTCCTCCTCTGCCCCCGCGCCGAAATCTATCGCCCCTCGCCGGCCCCAGGCCCCGGGGGGCCGCGGGGTGCTTTTGCGCGCTCGCAGCGGCTCTGGCCGTTCGGCGCGCGGGCGAGCAGTGGCCGCGCAAGGAGGCAGTTCCCGCCCCTGCCCGTTGCCTCCCTTTGGAGGAGGGCGGGGGGCGGGGGGGCGGGGGGCGGGGGTGCGGGGGCGGGGGGCGGCGGAAGGGCAGCTGAGCAGAAGCTGCGCGGAGCGCGTTCGATAGCCGATCAGAGCGAGAGGGCCGAACGCGCTGCGGCGGAGACGCGCCGCCACCGCGGCCGAGCAGCGCAACGGCGGATGCGCATGTGCGCTCCAACATAACGTGAAGAGGGCGGGGAGAAGGGCGCGGGCGGCGGGCGGGCAGCGGGCAGAAGTGGGAAGTAGGGAAAGAACTGGGGAGGGCATGGGGGAGGAGCCTCGGAGGGGCCACCGACCACCACCTTCGGACCTCTCTGGCCTGCTGGAGGACGCGAGCAACGTGGGGGAGCCAGAAAGGGCCGGCATGGAACTTCCGCTATTTCTTGTTCCCAACCATCCTGCGGCGTTGGGTCCACGTTTTGAAGAGACAGCGCCCCTCTCATTCCTCCTCCCCCCCCCGCTGCCCCCCCCCCCTCGACCCTCGACCCCGCTGCACCCCCCCCTCGACCCTCGACCCCTGCGTCCTGCCTCTGCCGTCCACTCAAGGAGGCCGCCGCGGGCTCTTCTAGCCTGCGCAGCCAGGGGTCCTCTTTTCGCTCCAGTTCCCAACCCTCCTGCGGCGCTGGGCCCTCGCGTTGAAGAAGCAGCGCCCCGCGCCCCACCTCCCCCCCCCCAGGCCCCCCGCCTCCCTCCCCACTCCGATCCCTGCCCTGGCCCTCCGTTTGCCAACCGTTGTGGCGCGCGCTCCTCGCGCGCCTCGTGGCCGCGCAGGAAGCTCCGCCGAGGCCCCCGCGGCGCAAGTCGACCGCGGGCGTCGCCGCGGTTTCGAACACCCCTCGCGCGTTTCGTCGTTCGTGACCCCGTGGGGAGCTCCACCCAAGGCCCCAGTGTCACAGTCACATGTCGGCGTCGCCCCCGCGTCGGCACGCCCCGTGCGTTTCGTGGCCCCACGGGGAGCTCCAGGCACCAGTGCCACTGCTCGCACGTGGGCGTCGCCCCCGCTTCGGCAGACCCTTCGAACGCTTCGTGGCCCCATGGGGGACTCCACCGCTCCACCTCAGGCCCCAGCGGCGCTGTTCGCATTCTGGCGCCACCCCCGCTGCGGCGCATCCTTCAGACGCTTTGTGGCCCCGTGGTGAATAGGTCCCAGTGCCGCACTTCGCACGTGCGCGTCACCCCCGCTCTGGCACGCCACTTCATGCGTTTCGCGAGCTCCGGCTCCACCTGAGGCCACAGCGAAACAATGGGCGTCGCCCCCGTTTCGGCACACCTCCCGCACGTTTCGCGGCCCCATGGGCCATGGGGAGCTCCACCTACCTAAGGCCCCAGTGGCGCTGTTCGCATGCGGGCGCCACCGAGAATAGGGTGCACGCTGGCGACGCGGGCCATCGATGGAGGAACGAGGAGCGAAGATCGATCGAATGGGTGACGAGTGGGCGACTGGGGGTCGATGCTTTCCCCTGCCGGCGGCGCGGCGAGGGGGGCAGTGAGAGGGGGGGGGCAGACCCTCTCAGACGGCGGCAGGGCTTCTCAGAAGCCCTCTGGCCTTCTGAGAAGCCGCCCGTGCCTTCGGAGAAAGCTCACATCTGAGCCGCCCGAGAAGGCCCGCCCCCTTTTGCCTTCGGGGGCGCCCAGGAGCGGGGCGTCCAGGAGCGGGGGGGCGGGCGCACATCATCACCCGAGGCACGGGCGCGGCCCGCGGGGCGGGGGCCACGGGACGCCTTGGAATGAGAAGAGGCGCCATGAACTCTTGTTTGGACGTCCGAAATGGGCACGGAAAGAATGGGCACAATGCCCAACAACAACTGTTGCCCCGAACCAACAGCGGCCGCTGTTGGGCAGGCGGCCTCCTGCCTCGAATGGACACAGGCCGCGGCGGCGCGGACAGCGAGCCCTGTCCAAAGTGAACAGGAACTGCTGTTGGGCATTGTACCCATTCCTTCCGTACCCATTTCGGGCGCCCAGATCTTAGACCTCCTGGCCCCGGCCCACTCTCGGCCGGCCCCGACGCCCTGCCCCCCCTTGGGCGCGCCGCCGACCCCGAGCCGACCGCCCCCCCCCCCCGGCCGTCGTTGCGGCTGCGCGCAGGGCTGACCCTGGGCAGGAGTGGCCTCTGGTGCGCGGCTTTCTGGGGGGCCGCGGGGGAGACCAGATCCGGGCCACCCGCGCGCGCCAGCCACTGCTGGCGGCACCCAGCTGCGGGCCTGCACCACAGAGCACTCCGTCCTCCTCCTCCTCCTCCTCCTCCTCCTCCTCCTCCTCCTCCTCCTCCTCCTCCTCCTCCTCCCCCTCCCCCTCCTTAATCCCGAGCACTGCGCGAAGCCGAGCCGCTGCCGGGCTCCTGGCCAACCCGCAGCAGGCTGCCCCGGCGCCGCCGGCTCCGCCGCCCCGCAGGGCCGCAGCAGCGCGGCGAGCGCGCAGAGCCGCAGCAGACACGGCGCCATGCCCGGGCCGGCGCTCACCTGGCGACGGCGGCGGCCGCGCGGGCCGCCGATGGCCGACGACAGCGGCGGCGGCGTGGGCGACGGCGACGGCGACGACGACGACGACGACGACGGCGACGACGACGACGACGACGACGACGGCGACGACGACGGCGGCGGCGGCGGCGGCGGCGGCGACGACGACGACGACGACGACGACGACGACGACGACGACGACGGCGACGACGACGGCGGCGGCGGCGGCGGCGGCGGCGACGACGACGACGACGACGACGACGACGACGACGGCGACGACGACGATGCCGGCGGCGGCGATAGCGGCGGCGGCGACGGCGACGACGACTACAAGGACGACGACGACGACGGCGGCGGCGGCGACAACGACGACGACGACGACGACGACGACGACGACGACGACGACGACGACAACGACGACGGCGATGCCGGCGGCGGCGATAGCGGCGGCGGCGACAGCGACGACGATGACGGCGGCGACTACGACAACGACGACGCCGGCGGTTGCAACGGCGGCAATGGCGGCGAATGACGAGCCATGAAGTGGACGGTGCAGCGACGGCGAAGACGACGACGACGACGACGACGACGGGCAACCAAAGATCGACGACTGAGGATCGACCTGGCCGTCACCTACATCTTATTTCTGGGGCTCCAGGGGACCTCCGTGGGAACCTGGTGCCAGTGCTCGACTGGCTGCGATGACGACGTCGTCGCTATCGCCGTCGTCGCCGCCGTCTGCGTCGTCGCCGTCATCGCTTCGAAGGGCGTCGGGCCTCTAAGGAGGCTCTCGCCACCACGATTTCACGCGGCGTGACAAGCTGCTCAGGACGGACCCTGAGAGAGGCGGAGGGACTAAATTTGGGTCTGACAACGCAGATGACCGCAGCGGCGGCGGAGATGGCGACGACTGACACAATTACACCAGGCGGCGTGGCGGCGGCGATGTCGGCGACGACGGCCGCGGCGGCGGCAACGGGGACGAGGATGCCGGCGGCGACGCCGACGGCGACCGACTATTAACGATCGACGACCGAGGAACGACCTGGGCGGCTATGGTCCTGGTGTTTTTGGCCCTCCGGATGCCTCTGGACCAGCGCTCACGAGGAGGCGACGTCGACATCGCTGGGGCCGTCGCCATCGTTGTTTCGGAGAGTTCGGTACGTTTCTGGAGGCTCCCGTTGCCGTGGTGGGCTCTGAAAGTATCCAGGGCGGAGCTCGGAAGGGATGGAGATAAGTTTTGAGCGGATTCGGGTCGAACGGCGATGACGACCACGACGACGACGGCGGCGACGGAGTTGAGGATCGAGGTCCAAGTGGAAGCTTGGTGGAGTTGCTGGTGGTCTTTAGAGCTCACGAGAATCCCTTGTCGCGACGGTCCTGGTCTGGGCGCGATCATGGGTAGGGCTCAAGGTCGGTTTTGAGACGACGAAGACGCCGATTACGATAGCGACGGCGCCGACGATCGACAAACTATCGGTGGGCGGGGGAGCGGCCATCTACGAAATCCCCCAACTTCTCAAAGGGTCGCCCCCCTTGCCGTGCCCCCCTCTACGCGCGGCCAATCGACTAACCCAGTGTCACATGTGCATCTGACGGCGATTCATAGCCGTGCGCGTCAGAGAGCTCACCGAAGCAGCGGAATGCGTTGGCAGTATTCGTTTGTGCGTTCGTGGGGGAGGCGGAGATGCGAGACGCGTGCTGCGAATGCGGGCAATGACACGGCACGTATGATACACATGAAACTGGCCAGAACGGCCTTTCCATGCTCCACGACTTGCTTCATACATTCTTCGATACACGAGGACGCTGGCGCGCGCCCCTCACCCCTCGGCTCTCGACGGTCGGGCCTTGTCTTCTTCCTCCCTCCGCGGCCGTTCTGTTCTTCCGCCCGCCTTGTGCGCCGTGCGCCCGGCCTCTCAATGTTCCACGACTCGCCAATGTTCCACGACTTGCTTCATACAATCTTCGATACACGAGGACGCTTGCGCGCCCCTCACCCCTCGACCCTCGACGGTCGGGCCTTCTCTTGCTCCTCCCGCCGCGGCCGTTCTGCTTCTCCGCCCGCCCTTGTGCGCCCGGCGCGACCCGCCGGTCTCCGCCCGTGCGCCTGCCTCCGCCGGCGCGGTGGATTCAAAAGTGCTCCCCTCACGGGCTTCCTCGGGTCCTTTCACTTTGGCGCGCGCCACCTTATGCCAACTAGGGGGCCACATGCGAACCCTACCCAAAAGAAAGACATCGAAATCTAGACGCCTCGCGCATCCCCGCCAACCCGCCCAGAAACGATGCCCAGGCGAGTTGAGGCGATCAGGGAAGCGCGGGAGCAAGGAGGTGGGCGGCCGAGACGCGCGAAGGAATGGGGGGGAGAAGAAGGGGGCTGGATGGATGGATGGATGAGGGAACGGGGGGAAGGAAGGCGAATGGGAGGAGGAGGAGGGGGAGGAGGAGGAGCAGGAGCAGGAGCAGGAGAGCGAACAAAAAAGCCAGCGGTTTCTCGGATGCCTTTCGGAGTCCCTCAGAATCTCTTGGGCGCTTCTTGAAGGCATCTTGGGGCGCCCCGGGGTCTCTCGGCAGTTCTGGGGTGCTTTTGGGTGTCTTAGGTGCCTCGGGGAAGCCTATCGGGGCCTTCTTGGGGGCCTCTCGGGGCCATCTGGGAGCCATCTTGGGGCCATCTCGGGGCCCCCCCTGGCGCCTCTCGGGGCCATCTTGGGCGGCGTCGATCAAAGGCGGGAGGTTTCCCGATTCGCCCTGCCCCTCGAAAGTGCTGCGGTAGCCTCTTGGGGCGCTCTTGGGGCGCTCTTGGAGCGTTCTCGGGCGCTCTCGGAGCCCTCTCGGGCCATCTTGAGGCGTCGGAAGGCTATTGGAAGCGAACGCGCGAGAAAGCAAACATCATTGGTTTTCCTTCGGTAGTTGACTGATTCTAGCCTCCTGGAAGCCTCCCCGGATGTCTCGGAGGCCTCTTGGAGCCGTCTTGGGGCAGCGTTGGGGCCTTTTGGGGCATCTTCGGAGCCATCTTGAGACGTCTTCAGCTACCTTGAGCCATCCAGGAACTCATCTTGGGCCCTCCGAGGCGCTCTTGGAGCCGTCTTGGGCCATCTTGGACGCTCCAACTACCGGCGGGACCCCCCGCCCAGGTCCAGGGGGTGGCGGGGGGGGGCCCTACCCGAAGGGGGAGAAGGGGGGTGGAAGGGGAAACTCCCCAAACCACCTACGCCCAGAAGGCTGGTGGGATTATTTGTTGGATCGGCCTGGTGCAATTCTTTGACTAAATTCGCCGGCCAAACGGGCCAGGGCGTGCTAAGATCTCCGGTACCTGGTTAACAGTATTTCTAGTTCGCGCGCGCGGGGCGGCCCCTGGGGGTCCCCGGACGAAAAGTACCCCGGCAAGGGCAAGGTCCCGGCAAGGTCGGGCCAGAGATGCCGGAGCCCTGTTACAGGGCCCCAGGACGGGCCAAGAGGTCCCCAAGAAGCCTCCAAGACGGTCCAAGAGGGCCCCGAGACGGCCAAAGATCGCCCGAAGACGCCCAACAGGGCCCCAAGACAGCCCAAGAGGCCTCCAAGACGCCCCAAGGGCCTTCCAAGAGGCCTCCGAAGAGGGCCCCAAGAGGCCAAAATCGTTGATTTTCATTGTTTTTTTCCATGTTTTTTGCGTTCTGGCTTTTTCGGCTTCCGGACGCTCCAAGACGGCCCAAGAGGCCCCCAAGACCGCTCCAAGACGGCCCACGAGGCTCCCAAGACGGCCCCGGAACGGCCCAGGAGGGCCCCCAAGACGGCCCAAGTGCCGCCCAAGACGGACCAAGAGGCCCCAAGACGGGCCCAAGAGGGGCTCAAGAGGGGAACCGAGAACTGAAAAATCGAGCCCTCCGCCCCAGAAGGCGCCCAGGAGGCACCAAAAAGGCCCCAAGAGGCCCCCAAGAGGCCCCCGAGACGCCCCACGAGGCGCCCAAGAGGCCCAAAAGAGGCCCCAAGAGGCCCCAAAACGGCCCCCAAGAGGCCCCCAAACTCGGCTAGCCCACAACGGTGCGACAATATGGGCCGGCGGAATGAGCGAAGCGATTAAATAACTATATGACATCATGAGTTGTGCTCTAGGTTGTGTTCTAGGTTGTGTTTTAGATGTGCTCTAATTATGCTCCAATTGGGCCGCCCGTCCTGCGCGCGGGTCGCGGGGGGGTCGCAGGCGGGCGGCGGGCGCGAATCGGGGACCGCGAGGGGTTCTCCGCCGGGACATTGCAGCGGGGAGTCCGCATTCCATGCGGCTGCCTTTGAGCCGCGTTCTTGTCCATTTTTTTGGCGCAGCGTGGGCGAGGGCCAAGGGTGCGAAGACCGATGATGTTTTGGGGGCAATCGTTAAGTGAGGCGTCCGCACTGTGTAACTATAGGACGCAGGTTAGAAGTGGGGCTCACTTGCGCTTCTGGTCCCGCAGAATTCACATGCGTGCGTTGGGCGGGGCGGGGCGGGGCGGGCAAAGTCGGGGGCGGCGCGTGCGCGCGCATGCGCGCGTGTTTTTGTTATTGTTGTTGTTGTTGCTGTTGTTGTGCTTGTTGTTGTTGCTGCTGTTGCTGCTGTTGTTGTTGTTGATGTTGTTGTTGTTATTGATGTTGATGATGTTGTTGTTGTTGAACATTATTAATTCTAAAGAATAATTATTGTTGGGCCCCCTGGTGCACGCCCCCCCCGCCGCGCCTAGGCCGCAGCTACATTTTCATCATTTTCGTGAGGAAGCCTCAGGTAATTCGATGTGATCAAGATCCGGTTGTTTTGTTCCCCCCCGCTTTCCCTTGCAAAAAACACTATAAAATGACATTTCTTGTTCTAATATAATCAAATTTCAAGAATCCCTTGCAAAAAATAAGGTAAAGTGGACATTCGCGCGCGCAAGACGAAATCCTTCCAAAAGCTTAGTGTTCGCAGCGATTTTAACATAAAAACATCAAAAAACCAATGGTTTTTCAACAAAAAAATGTCAAAATCTCATCCCGCGCGCTCTTGCGGATTCGTA